AAAAAAAAGCTGGGGGCAGAGGGGCTAGGCCAGGCATGGTGGCTCACGCCTGTAATCCCAGCACTTTGGGAGAGTGAGGAGAGCGGATCACCTGAGGTCAGGAGTTCGAGACCAGCCTGGCCAGCATGGTGAAACCCCATCTGTACTAAAAATACAAAAATTAGCCAGGTGTGGTGGCGGGCACCTGTAATCTTAGCTACTCAGGAGGCTGAGGCAGGAGAATCGCTTGAACCCAAGAGGTGGAAGGCCACTGCCCTCCAGCCTAGACAACAGAGCAAGACTTCGTCTTTAAAAAAGAAGGGTGGGGGTGTCAATAAGCACATGCAAAGATGCTCAATACTATTAGTCATGGGGGAAATGCAAATCAAAACACAATGAGGTATATGAAAGGAAAATAAAATCTCAGAACCCCAGTTCACTATGCCAAAAGGAACAAATTAAGCTAAAAGCTGAGTCGTGCAAGAAACTGCCTTTCCTTTTGTTCCTAAGCAGAGAGCTACTGATAAAAGGTTCAGTATCTCCACAGGCAGCTACTCACCTTATCTTACATAAAGTGCCCATTTACTGAGCACCAGATGAATGCATCATTGACTATTGCCTCACCTGCTCCCTTTCTCTTGTAACATGTGGATGACCACACCCTCCCTCTTTCCCCTCCAGCCCACTTTTCCCCCTTTAAATACTGAAACCCTCAAAGTCATCTTTGAAGAAAGGCATAGACCACAGACTGTTTCTGCGATTCTGTGGTTTTTCTTCTCCCTGGCATTGTCCTTAACCTTGGTAAAATAAACATCTAAATTGATTGAGACCCAGCTTAGATAATTTTTAGTTCACAAATTGGCAACCATGAAGGGACTCCACGGAGGTGGCCCTGGCCTTTGACAAATCTCCTGTTGGTATTTAGTAACGGCTTGGTATCTGTCTTCATTGGTCAAACCAGTAGGACAATTTGTCGAGGGCTGGGAGCTCCCCCCTGCAGAGAATCCCAGATCTCTGAAAATTTGAGATCTAAGAGAGCTAAAATTTGAGAGCTAAGTTTTATTTTGTTGTACAACTTCTTTTCTGGACTTTTCCTTGCTTCCAACAAGGAAGGCAACTTTTCCTGCTTCCATGACAATGGAGAGCAGGTAACTCCTTTCTGGAGTTTCAACTCACTTCCAACAGGGAAGGTAAGTTTGAAGTTTTTTTCCTGCTTCGTAGATGCTAAAGTGCAGGCCAGGCACAGTGGCTAAAGCCTATAATCCCAGCACTTTGGAAGGCCAAGGCAGGTGAATCACTTGAGGCCAGGAGTTCAAGACCAGCCCAGCCATGATGGCGAAACCTTGTTTCTACTAAAAATACAAAAATTAGCCAGGCGTGGTGGTGCATACCCGTAGTCCTAGCCACTCGGGAGGCTGAGGCAGGAGAATCGCTTGAACACAGGAGGAGGAGGTTGCAGTGAGCCAAGATCGCTCGATTGCACTCCTGCCTGGGAGACAGAGCAAGACTCCGTCTCAAAAAAATAAAATAAAATAAAAAATAAAATTTAACCTGAAAGACTGGTTCAGGCCATGGTGGGAAGTGGGGGTTTGACATGACTCATTATAACCTGCAGCATTCATATCAACGCAGACCTTAAGTCTCATAAGAAACCTTTACATCTATTCGCTCTGAAGCCTGCTACCTGGAGGCTTCATTTGCATGAGAAAACTTTGGCCTTCACAACCTCTTACTATAACCCAGACATTTCTTTCTATTGATAATAACTCTTGCAACCAATTGCCAATCAGAAAGTTTTAAAATCCACCTATAACCTGGAAGCACCCCCCTCATCAAGTTGTCCTGTCTTTCTGGACTGGACCAACGTATATCGTCAATGTATTTGATTGATGTCTCATGTCTCCCTAAAATGTATAAACCAAGCTGTGCCTCGACCACCTTGGGCATGTGTTCTCAGGATCTCCTGAGGCTGTGTCATAGGCCATGGTCACTCATATTTGGCTCAGAATAAACCTCCTCAAATATTTTACAGAGTTAGACTCTTGTTGTCGACAGTGTTTATGTATGGATGTGTGTGTTTATGTGTGTGTATGCATGTGTATGTGTGTGTATGCATGTGTGTATGTATCTGTGTGTATATGTGTGTGTTTATGTGTGTGTATTCATGTGTATGCATGTGTGTGTATGTGTGTATGCATATGTGTATGTGTGTATGCATGTATGTATCTGTGTGTGTGTGTTTATGTATGTGTGTATGCGTGTGTATGTGTGTGTGTGTGTGTGTGTATGTATCTGTGTGTATATGTGTGTGTTTATGTGTATTCATGTGTATGCGTGTGTGTGTATGTGTGTATGCATGTATGTATCTGTGTGTGTGTGTGTTTATGTATGTGTGTATGCGTGTGTATGTGTGTGTGTGTGTATGTGTGTATGTATGCCTTTAT